GCAAAAGCACGAGCGAAAAGATTTCCGCCGAAAAAAATTCTGCAACTATTCAAATCAAACCGGAAGGTTTAATGCTATAAATTACAAAATTGCACGAAAATGCCCGAAAATTTTGTGAATCTCCACATGCTCTTTTAACAAAACTTACGTATAACACGTAGAGGTTGTCCCGAATAAGTCGCCAAATTTGGGGGCAATGTATCGAATTTTGCCTGGTTGTGTTTGCTATTACCGAAAAAATATATATACCGGTGGCCATAAGTACCTGACAGTGCTCATAGTGTTCTAAGCGCGATTTATTTGCGAGAATGGACGCCACATTTTGTAGGAAGATTAAAACAAGTTGGGGGTACGCAGGATTCCTCAAAAAAAACAAATTAGTTTCCAAAGCCAGCCGCTAGGGGGAATATTGCCGCTGTGGAATAGAAAATAGGTGTTAACAAATCCATTAATACGGGAATAAAATACTAATTACCTTTTATTATGCAAAGCACTTTTGTGGATTTAATTTTCAGTGCAATATGGCAACACTTTAAAAGCGATAAAAGACAATGCTGGGGAATCAGTTTCATGCAAGATGGAGCCCTCCAACACTTGCTGTATGGGTGCAACAGATGCCTACGACAGAAATTCACCACAGAAAAAGTCCATTAGCCACTACTTCCAACTACATTGGCCACCGCGCGATCGGCCGATCTTACTCCATGCGCCTGTCTGGCTATGTGTGTACCTTAGTCCCAGGTCTACAAGGAGTGGTCCAGGACCTGGCTACTTTGAAGATCACATATCACTGACTGCACGGGAGATTTCCTCCTGCAGGCATGTACTTTCTGTCTGTTGTATATACTGTGCACAGAATGCATATGTGGTCACAACAACGGCAGCCACATTGAACCTCATTTGAATCAAATAAAAGGTAATTTTCCATTATTGATTTTCATTCGTTAACTACTTTATTTGCTTTACACAGCGCCAAAATCCCCTAGTGTGACTTTTGGAACTATTTGTTTGTTCGCAGAATCCTTCGTCCCCGGGTCTTGTGAATCTTCCTACAAAATGGTGGCGTCAATTCTCCGGCAATATTCGTCGCTTACCCGAACACTGAGCACTGTCAGTTTAATTATGGCCACCCTTTATATATATACATACATAACACAAATCTAAAGGTTATTGATAAACTTAAGAAGCACGTAAGTGAGAAGGAATATAGCAAATTTGGAATAGAAGCCCATGTTTTAGGAAGCAATGCCGAGTCAGTACGATCTGTTAATACAAGGAACTATAGTATACATTAATCATACTCAGCCAGGAGGCACTAAAATCATAGAGTTAACTGAAATGACCATATTCAGACATTTAATATGTTATATTCATATCATAGTAATTTGCTTTTTATCTGTGCACAAAAGTCACAGCTAACTCATACTATGAATACAATGTCCCTTTTCACAGTACAATATTTCTTAAGTTTATCTATAACGTCTAGACAGCCTGTTAAATATGTGTGTCTAGATCTATATAGATTGAATCAAAGATATAAAAAAAGGCCATGAAAATTTGTACTCTTTTCTGTGGATGAAAACAAATGATTTTGAACCAGGCTTTATGAACCCTCTCAGAAAAATAAACATTTAAGAGCCACAACATTAGATTTCCAATTTTAACACAATTTAAATAAATGGAAGCACAAATCATGAAAGGATAATACACAACATTATTAACTCCATATTACTAAAACTGAGAAAACATAAATTAAAATCGTATGCTACGATATATACTTTCTGATTATCCAACTCCTGGTTTAAATCTTTGGTACAATCAATCAATGTAGGTGTACTTTTAATACACATATCATAATCAATAACATACACATATGCATACCACATAAATGTTTGCATACATGAAAATACACAAGTTTTATATTTAAATGTCATTTTACTAAACAATATTTACCAGCTGTAAAAATTTTAATAATAGCTATGTATATTTTTGTTTATTCTTATGTTTCTTTTTATTAATATTTATTAAGAAGTCACAAATGAGGTGGTGACTTTTCGCATGAATGTGAATAATTAGAAAATACCTGCAATTTTTAGAAATATACCAAAAAACTTTTGACAGATCTGTAATTTGCAGACATAATACTTAAATATTTTGAAAAGAAAACGGCGCTTGTTTTAAAAACATGTCAAAGTTACAAAATAAAAATTACTTCATATGCGGAAAATTTGAAACAGTTCTAATTTACAAATCCAAATAATGCAGAATCCAGTAGGATGTTCCAAAACTTTTAACAGTAATTTCTTTTCATTTATTTAAATCTTATTAAATCTAATTATAATTTCACAAATGAAAATGACATGTTTTAAAAAAATCAGGCTAAAAAAAAGAAAATTAGCGCTACAAACATTTTATCGGTTAGTACATTAATTTTTTTAAAAACATAAAATATGAAATACTAAAGACTTTTTCAAGCAATACTATCTAACAACTAAATTTAAATCTACAAAGTAGTCATTTTTGTGGTGGAATGTTTGTGGTGCACAAATTGTATTTTTATGCAGATATCAAAAATAAGAAAAGTTAATAATTCAGTAAACTAGCAAGTACAAATTTTAAGTAGTATAAGATATAATGACCTTAGTTTGATTACACTTAAAAGCAAAAATCATGCATACAAAAAAAAAAAAAAAAAAAATTGCAGATGACACTCATGACTAAATAAATATGCATAAATAATATGTTTTTCAATTTCTTCACTAACAAAATGTATTCATCTTACAGATCACAAAACATGGATATATATACATATCTGTACACACTATTAACATAAAGATAGCTGTAAAATAAAGTATTAATAACAGCAAAACCTCAGATTGAAAGCTTTCAATTTATAAGTCCATGGAATCTTGACACTATGATGAACATAGATTCATATTAACTTTTTTTTCAATTCAAGATTCATTAAATTTCTAAATATTAATTTGTTTAATAATCAGGGTAGTTTTTGAAAGCAAGGGTAGAAAATCACAAACATCAGTCATGCATAAAGGAAAATATTGAAATTAGTTCTAACTTACATTTAATTCCATATTCCACATTTATTTTTCATAGAATTTAGCTACATTGATATCTGAAATACCATTTTGCCTTCAAAATATATGTTTATACATATTTATAAACAGATATGAAAATGATTGTGTCTGCAGTACCTTTCAAAAAGCAGCAAATGGATAGAGCTCATTCCACTAGAATTAATGAGCACTATGCAAAACTAAATGAAAAAATAATATGTTTTATAGATTCAAAGAAAAATTTGCATATACCATAATTTTAGAAAATTCACAAAAATGTTTTTAGCAGTGACAACTATATCATCAAAAAGTAGTCCAAAAAGAAACTCATGTAATAATTCAAATATTTAAAGTCATTACATTATCATATTTTATTAAAAGTTAATTAAACTCGCAACACTCACACATCTGCCGAAAAGTCAATATTTTGAAGATTAATCTTGAAACTTTAAATTCTATCAAATAATCTTTAAAAATCATCAAATTGGCTGCTATTTATTTTCTTAATTACTTAACACTACATCAGTTTATAATTTTCTGGATAATGGCTTTTGATCCCAGTTAATATATTTATGGCCAATTTTCATATAACAACAGAAGAGGGTCTTAAATTTTTGATCTACTAGCAACATCCTGATTTTGGAAAAAAAAAAAAAAAAAATGAACTTAAGAATTTCATATAATTCATAGAAACATAATTAAGGTTATGGAATTTTTCTCTTTTGCATTTCTTTTCTTCTCTACACCTAAATATAGTACATTATTTCACAAATCGTACTGGAGATGAATAAAAACAAAATGTACAGAATCTGAAATGATGTTTCATTATTGAAAATGTAAGTGCACAGTTAATACACTGCATTATAAGAAAGTCAATTCATATATATATCTTTGCAACATCATGAATTCTAACTGAAACATATTTAATACCTGAAGCCTATCTTCCAACTATTTTAATCAAACTTTCCTTGATTCACATAACTCAAATTATTTTGCCCTAATACAGATGTTGTTACGCAGCTAATATGCTTTCATTAAATATTTGGTGATTACTGATTTAATGGAATTACTATTATGTGACACTTTAAATTATTTTAAAGTGGAAAGCTGTGAGAATTCATGACAGATAATTCAAAAATCATACAAAGGCACACAAACCTACCATAATGCAGATATACAAAAATAAACGTAAATAAATAGCCTTCTAATAAAAGATGTCAAATTTGGAAATAATTATTTTAATAGTTTTGAAAAAGCATTTCACATTTCAGAAATTGTACTGAGGTACTGATGTTGTTTAAGATTGATGACAATAGAATTAAGCAAAAGAGAAGCATAATTTTAGCTTACACTGGCACATAAACATTTTATTGAGTAATCCATGTCACTCCAAAAAAAAAGAAAGTTACTGATGTATTTAAGTAATAACTACCCATGAAACCGCAAATTTTAATAAATGTTACAGTATATTCTGAAACGGTTAGGTATTTTTTCCCCCATAGTTTATATTCTGGGAAAGGACTCTAAAAAGAATTCAGATTAATCCATGATTTCCTCTAAAGTGATTATTTTAAGATTCTTATAAAATATACCATAATAAAAAATAACTGCTTACAACATGTGGTAAATTAAACAGAAGAAAAAGTTATCCTTAGTAGAAGATACTGAACAAATTTAGTGCTACATTTAGTGCATCTTGATTGATCTGAACTTTATTAAGTAAAGAGTGGATACAGTTTTTGCAAACTGCAAATGAGCACTACAAAGCATATTTAAATTCTGAAAATTTTCTACTACGTTTTTATACTTTATTAATGAAAATATTTCTGATAGTTTGCAGAGAAAACTAAGATTGATTATCATTGCATTAGTAGAGAAGTGCCTAACAATAGGAGTAAAATATTATTTTCATAAAAGTGAGCATACTTTTCACACACCCTTTTCTTTATTACATCATATATTTCTCATTTTTTCTACAACACATAAAACTTTTTTGACTAGTTTCACTTTTTCCATATATTTAGAACTTAACTTAAAATTTTCTTAAATATTAACTATGAAAACTTAATTCCAGACTGAATTTCACAGTAAGAAAAAATATGGACTAAAATTTTGTATACCGATTTTATGATAATCCTGCCTCATTTAATAATATATCAAAACTTAAGACACACATGACCCACATGACAAAGCTGTTCTAAAACTCTTTGAAATGAAAAATTTTTGCTTGATTTTCTTTCAATGGAAATTTATCAAATATATTTTTTAAAAATGTCAGTCTTCCAAATAAGAGTTTTTTATTCATAAATTGGGAAAGAAAAAACTAAATATGGCATGTAAATTTTGTTTAATATATTAAAATTACAATATCATAGCTGCCAACCTTAAAATCTAAAAAGCCGGGATATTTTTCTTGGTTGGCAGGTTGTCAAGCTGTGCAGCAATACCATTCCTAAGGAACTCCAAACTGGCTTAAAATCACTTTATAATGCATGTTTCTAGTTACTGAACAATTTGTAATACGATTCTGATGTAAAATATATTAGCATTTAATTAAATATTTTAAATTTTATAATCTTTGGCTAATTTAATGTTCAAATTTTTTTACACTGACAAAATCTGATCTTTTATTAGGCAACGTACTTTTAAATATGGTGAAATTAAAATTAATAACTGATGCACATAGTATTTGTACGGATAAACCTAGTAATGTACCATATATTTAAGTAAAATTAAATTAAATACATATATTAACTAATTAAGCACTGTCCGAATCTTCATAGAAAAATCTACAGTTAATTTAGACAACTCAGATCAGAAGAAAAATATCAATTAAATGTAATAAGAGAAAAATACAATTCAGGTGAAATAAAAATTTATGTTGAAAACTATCAGGGGTGGGGAAACTGAATTTGCACAACTTAATTTACCTTAAATCAATAAATTTCATTTATTGCTGAGAAATAATTTTGCATAGCAAAGGCTAAAAATTAAAGACTGGAAGATTCTGTGATTTACCTGGAGATGTGATGGAAAATAGGGAATTTCACAGATTTACTAGGAGAGTTGCAGCTATGCAAATACTAGTAAAGTTTGTATTATATCAATACTATGCATGAAAGTAATAAGGCACTTGAGGTCACTATTTCTTGCATATTTTAAAACAATATAACGATTTTACTTTCAAAACATCTGGTGGAAAGAAACAAAGAGCTACATATTTTCTGTTTAAAGTATTTTAGCAACAGAGGTTACTACTATGAAAAAAATACAAGAAAAATGTAATTACAAACATAATTTCTACTATATTTAGTAAATTGCACTTTTAAGTTAATCTTCCCTCCTTTAATTTTCAAAAACACAATTTTAGACAGTTATAAAGAGAAACTCCTCCTTTTTAGCAAATACATGAATTAATATTGATAAGAATTTGAGTTATACAACTTTGAATTTTACACAATGAGAAACATTAAAATACTTAAAATACACTAATATCAAAAAACTGTTTAATTGCTTTAGTCAACTAATAAATCAAGCAAAACTTGTAAAACATGCAAAAATAACGTCCAGAAAACAGATCTCTCTTCATATTCAGGTTCATCTTTTACAGGCAAACTTGAACTAGATGGTGGCTTATTAGACTGAGTTTTTTTCGTTTCACGCGGATTGAGATCTGGATAAACATCTTCCACAGCATCAAAAACGTCAATTTTCAATTCATATAAACTAATTTCATGAGAAGGATGACCATATACTGCTATAGATAATGGACGACCATAACCAGCAGGTACTTTAATTTGTTCAATTCCACAAGTAGTGGACTGCAGTTCATGGTTTTCAATATCAAAAGTAGGTTTTAAATTTTTTGATGAAACATATAAATCAGCATCACCTTCAAGAGTTCTCAGATAAAGCACAACAGTCCCTGGTTGAGGTAACCAGTAATACGAATAATTTCCACCACCCACAGTGCCAAGAAGAGTCTCTTGAAAATGGTCAGCACCGAGACACAGTGGAGCCCACATAATTAGAAACAAGGAGATAAACTTATCCCCAGCTTTCATCATGAGGAGATATATGACCCTGGAAGTAAAAAGAAATCAAATTTTTAATTTAAAGGTTACTCAATGCTGCAGTCAAAAAAATTCTTGGTAGCTAATCTTGATTTTTCAGTGCTCACATGCAGGGCTGTGGAGTCGGGAAGATTTTGGGGTAAAAGGAGTTGGAGCTGGAGTCGCTAAAAACAGGTCGACTCCAGTTTTTGTTGGACAGTTTGATTTTGACATGGAATTAAAATGAATTTTTAAAAATTATATAAATAATGACAAACTGTGTTATATTTTTATTTATGAAATATACATTAATAATAATTATTTCTATTTTTGACATATAATAAATAAATATAGGGAGGAGGATGGATGTGATATTGCCATTAGTGATTAAAATGATCCATTTAGTACAAATCTCACTGGTAAATTAGGTAAGCAGCAACAGCAGGAAGAACCCCAAAATTGATGCCATTCTTAGGAAGCGAGTAGGAAAAGGAGCAATTATGATCGAGTAACGCGATAAGGAAGACATATTTATTAAAGAGGTTGTTAGAATAAGAAATTTTAGAAGATGTAGATGACCTAAGTTCCACTAACAGAAAAATGTGGAGATCTTGCAGGATTGGAAACTACTACTTTCTACACCATATAAGCCACAAAAAAGCGCAATCTGCAGAATTGAACAGGAGGTGAGAATGGAAGAATGTGTTTGGTTCTTTCTGAAATGGAGTGTTTATTGCAGAAGGAATAATTTCTTCAATGAAGAAAAGAGAAACTAGTTTGCTAGACAATGAGATCTTGCCGAGTTCAATATGTATATACGTATATATATCTCAAACACCAAATTTTCATGGATGACAACAATTAAAAGGCAAAGAAAGCCATCTATGAACTTTCATTAAGAATGAAATTATTCTCAGAACAATTGGAGAGTTCGAATCCAGGGCACTCAAATTGCAAACATTGCAATTGAGTCTATATCATACTCTTCCAGTGATGAATTAGATTTGAGAAATATTTTTGGATAATATTGAAAAGACTAAGGCAAAGCGAATGAAAATAAAGAACCAAGAGCATTTAGATATAAAAATGAAAAAATACAAACAAGATTTATATGCGGCCTTTGTAGAAAGAGATAAATACGATTGCTCTTGCAAGACACCTCTTTTAGAACTTACAAAAAATCTATCCTGAAAAGTTAAAAGAAGTAGCCCTAACAGTAACAGCTCTTTCCCCTACTCAAGTTAGTGTGGAAAGACTCTCTGAAGTTTATCAAATCGGATCTGTGGCCCTCCAACAAAGAAGATCTTGCCAAAGCTATACTGTTTCTTAAAAATAACTAATGCCAGTTTTTCCATTTCATAATAAATGCTAATTAATATAAATAATTTGCTATACCATCAATTTTTTTCCCCTGTAGCATCTATTACTTTTTATATTAAAAAAAAAATACGCTGTAACCCATGTGCATAGGTTTACACATATATATATGTAATAATCATACTTTTTGGCAGAAGATGAAAACAATTCACTTTTAGTCGTGGCCGGAAAACTGCTGCATAGATGACTGGACATTACAGCATAGTGGATGATTGCATGGAATTTGTAGAAGCACAACCAGCTTGATAATTAAACATCATTTATTCTTGAATGACAAATTTCTTAATGCATAACTGTAGAAGACTAGGGGTGCTAAACGTGCCCCATAATTTTAGATATACATTTACATTTTACATAATACAACTAGCAGAGGCTGAGCAACAAGCTGTCAGCATACAGGCGAAAAAGAGAGAAACTATGCAGTTATTAACTATTTATACAAGATAGGTGCACCAAGTAACCTAAACTGTGATTGATTAAATTTTGGGTTTCAGTTCCATTTACATGATCAGAATTAGATTTTTTTGGAAATGACGCAGTGCAAAAAGAGGTTACTATTTTTAGAATCGAGAAAGGAAATCTACATTGATAATTTAATCTTTTAAATATTCTTTATTTTTCTTACACACACATATATATATGTGTGTGTGATGTACCAACTTTTGTCTGGAATAAATAGATTGGTGAAGAAATATAGATGTAGTCGTAGCTTAAATTATCAGACGATAAGTTTAAAAAACAGGATCCATTTATTATTGGTCAGGAGAAATAGCAGTTACAAATATCATATTTCTGGAGTATATAAAAAAGAATCACTAATAACTTTTTGTATGAAGTTTACTGCATCGTTACATTAAAGAAAAGACCCCGATATTCCTTTGCGAGTCCTTTTATAGCCTCTGGAAAGGCAGAGCTTCCAAGAAATGACATCAGCCTCGTCAGCCATTCCAATTCGCTTTAAATATCTCCAGAACATTTTATAACTGTACATGTAAAAAAAGGCGGGAAAAACAACTTGACTACGGGGCTGTGGATTTAATTCCTCGTACTTTCAAATAAGAGACTGTCGCCATTAAAAGTGAAAAGAACATACAGTTAGAAATTTAAGTGTATTCTTGACTATGGAATTTTATTATTACATATATATATGAGGAAGTTGGAGTCGAGTCAGAGTCTAAAATTCCAGGAGTCGGAATCGGTCACTTTCCCTACCGACTCCACAACCCTGCTCACATGTTATCTTACACCAGAAGCTTTGGTAGATGCCAAGATAATTTTGGCAGTAATCTAAACACTGATTATTAAATTTGCCATAGAGGTAATTAAACTGGTGTGCAAAAATTAAGGATGAGACTGTTTTTTTCAATTGTACAAAAGCTTTCCAAATCAACACATTTAATACCGTAAGATCCCCAATACGTAAGGACATGAGTAATGTAAGCAACACACTTAAAAGAGAAATCAGAGGGATAAAAGAAGCTTATTGAAAAAGTAGCATGGAGCGCATGCGACTGAAGGCCGAAACATCCCTGTGATGGGTGTCCAGCAAGAAATATCCGGTCTTTAATAGGGGATGTGATCTCCCCTGACTGCTAGGCAGGTTTCACAGCATCTGCCCATGCTGAGAATGAGGGTGTCAATGAGTTGTTGAGGCATTGCTGCCCATTCGTCTTGCAGTGCCAATCGAAGCTCCGGAATCGTTACTGGTCGTAAGATACGGGCTGCCAAGCGTCTGCCTAGAAACTCCCATACATGCTCGATGGGATTGAGATTCGGAGATCGTGCCGGCCAATTCATACGTTCAATATCCTCACTTTTCTAAGAGCTGTTCGGCAGCTACTGTGCGATGACATGGTGCATTGTCGTCCCTTAAAAGGAACTGCGGACCCATAGCGCCTCTAAAAAGATGCACATATGGAAGAAGAATCTCGTTACAATAACGGGTCCTGTTGACTGAACCTGCGTCGAAGATGTGAAGGTCTGTACGACTACCAAGCATGATGCCTCCCCAAACGAGAACACCGCCACCTCCATACCTGTCCCTTTCAATGATGTTCGAGGGATGATTGCGGCTTCCCCCGCTCTCTCCAGATGAGTATGCGATGAGAATCGCTACTCAGACTGAATCTGCTCTCATCTGTAGAGAATACTCGTCCCTATTCATTGTCTCTCCAATTCCGGTGTTCCTGGCACCACAGAGAACGCCTTCTCCGATGGGCAGGCGTTAGAGGTACACACCGTACAGGGCGTCGTGCAAACAGACCACCACTGTGCAGTCTTCTGGCCACGGTAAAACGCGATATCGGTCGTCCATTCACCTGTGTCGTGTGTCTAGCGATTTCTCCCGCTGTCTGCCGCCTGTTTCTTCTGGCCTGTAACCGGTTATCTGCGGGTGTGGTTCCTTGTGGACAACCACTACTAAACCCCCGGATAGCTGTTCCTGTAGTTTGGAATTGTCTCCAAAGTCGTGAAACGATGCTGTGAGCAATTCCGAATTCTGCAGCCACACTTGTCACACTGCGGCCTTCCTCCAACTTCCCAATGATTCGACCTCGGGTAAAAGCATCCAGATGTCGTCTAAGAGATTGATTATTCGCCATTTCTCGCTGAGGCAGCAACTAGGTGTGATTTTAACTGCTATACGGCATGCAATCTCTTTGCCAGAAATACTGATCTTACACCGACAACATGCTTTATACTACTCAGACACTCCCCCATTACGTCTACCTGCATATCTGCGCATGTGCTACCGTACATCACCTTACTTAATCTCCCGATTGGTCTTTCTGTCCGCTCTGCCTCTTCGTTCAGCTGATATGCTAATTTTTCGACTTCGTCCTTAATTTTTACACACCAGTGTACAGCAGCAATCTAGTTGATATGAAACTCTTGGCAGATACTGCCTGAAATGTATATTTTAAGCAGTAGATAGATAATAAATAAATCATACAGTTTCTAAATTCATTATGTAGAAAACCCCAGGTACCCATGAAGAAAAAAAAGCAAAATATGTGGAAGGATTGAACATGTCATTGCAGGTTTAATGTGCTGATAAAAGTTAAACACATTGCTGCAAAAGGAAGATGGTTGTAATACAACACTTACTGGCAATCTGACACCAGTTTTGGTACTTACCAAAACTCTTGATTCAGAACAGAACAGAAATGAATTACTGTTAACAGCAATTCAAGTTCTTCTTTCTCAGCTGTTAATTACTAATCATCCTACAGTAATTAGTTCCTTTTCTAGTTTGTGCAAATGCAAATTTTGTAAAGTTGTTGGCCTATAAACATTTCAACTTTTGTTTTGTGAGGGAAATTAAATACAAAGGCTTTAAATTCTTTGCACTGAGCGACTTGATGCAACAATGACTAAACATAAATAAACAGGTAGCAGGATAATTCTAACAAGCTTCAGGATTAAAAATGACTATATTCTGCAATAAGTGTGAAATACTTTTGTAAGAAACAATGGTTCCACCAACAGGATAATATATAAGTAATGAACACACAGCCACTGCTGCCACTAGGATATAAGCACTAAAATTTTCAGCAATATAAAGAACAAGACATCAATTTAATAATTAATACATAAAATATTTAGTTTTCTATGTTACCTATACATGATATAAAAATAGTATATGTTTTCTATCAAAATACCCACTGCTGCTAAAATATCAGTCTCACTAAATTTGACTAAATTCATTAAAATTACAAATACCAATCTAAAAAATCTTCAATTTTGGTACAATTCTAATATTTAATTTCCTAATAAATCAGAAAATAAGTACTGTATTTTTTACATGCAAAACACGTATTTTTAAAATACTGGCTCCAAAATTATTGAAAGAAACATGATTTTTCTTCAGCACAGCAGGAACACTAAGTAATAATTACATTATTAAAATGCATACAAATGAAAATAAATCAACACTTTAAAGGGGGGAAAGTGGTGATTCTATTTCTTTATATAATTGAAACCTCTGAAAATTGGAAGTTTTATATGTTTTAATAAAAACAATATTATATGCAATTTTTTTTAAAAAAATTATGGCACAAATACCAAGGAAACAAAAGTTAAGCTTACATTGACATTCTGGATTATCTCTAAATAAGCCATAAAATTATTCTGCGAGTTAAACGGAGAAAAGCTCTATTTTATCCAAAGTGATACAAGTGATACATACTTACTTTACATGATATGTCTTGAAATGATCTACAAAACTGTTACATTCCAATGGATCATCGAACGAAAAAAAAAAAACTGTAATTGAAATTGAAAGTACACTTTATTAATAAAATAATATTGCATCAAAAAAATTTAAGCACAGAAATGTAAAGGAATGACTTCATTTTGAAGCAAAAAACAATATTACTCAATTTTTACTTTTAGAACTTATTTCATATGTTTATTTTTTGATAATTTGAAACTTTGAAAACCATTTATTTTTTAATTTAATACATTTATTTGAAATCATTAAAAAAATTAATAGAGAAAAACAGGCACCATAAAACATATAAAATCATTTATTTAACACATAAATCTCAAAATACTAACAAGATAACAATACTAATTTGAGAATCAAAATTAAATAAATTCAGTACAGTTCAGGAAACTGATCAAGACAAACATCTTTAATTAACAGATTTTTTGTTTCCAGTACAAGCATTTCATACTTCCTTTAAGGCGGAGTCAATGTTGCCACTCGAGTTTACTTCTGTTGATTCATATCTTATGCAGAAGATTCTTGATTTTACAAAATTCTACAAACCAAAAAAAAGTTTATAAATTTAAACCACATTAAAAAAAAAAAAAAAAAAAAAAAAAAAAATTAGGGTGGAGGGGGGGACTCACATGGGAGCTTGAAAAAGGCACATAACTGGAAGCTTCTAAAAATGTCTTTTGCTTATAAATTGGAGATTCATTAAAACCCAAGTTCACTGTATATGAGCAAAATGCACTTCTAATCTTTATCTTATAGAATCATTATGTACAAAGAGCTCTTACTTGGAATACTTAATCAATTGAGTGGATTATTTACATTATGGCAAAGCACTCAACAGTTATCTGCCTAAAACTGGAATGCCTTCATGAAGGACCTTTTTAAGGGAAACTGGCTAGGATTCACATTATACATTGCGGTTTAATCCTAGTATCCGGTGCACACGGGATTTGGCTACTTTTGGCGACTTTATGTTGAGCAGTAAAAACGGGACATATACGATGAGTAGTTAACGGGTCATTCAAAGAAAATATATAGTTAAACATAGTATACACTATTTATACAGTATATATACTATGTATATACACACATAGCATATAGTGTATAGTATATATATATAGACGTTCTTTGGAACATTTTTGGTGTTGGCGATAATTTTCAAAGTCGCGCCAAGGCTGCACCGTATACTAGGATTTTACCTACATTGCAAAAACCACAAAATCTTCCATGAAGCCTTACCACGATTTGAATGCAATCAAACAATGAGTGTTCAGCGATTTTACTGATTAGCCACTGGTAGGTTAACCCGCGAGAAAGCACTGGGGTGTATCATACCCCACCCCTGCATAAAAGTGGAATATTCCTAACTTGTGAAACTAAAATTCTGTACTGCATTCAGTAGCAGAGTTTCTAGTTGTGGTTGACTTTTAGAACCGCTTTTTCTTTGCCTGTGTGTTTCAGAAGAAGATTTATCAGTATTTTGTTGGAACTGGGGTATGACACACCCCATGCGCCTGTTCGTGTAATTGTTTTTCAGACTGAATATTTAGTTCAGAAATTTATTTCTACAGTGTAACAGTAAATATTTCTACTCGCAAGTGATTTTAAAGTACTTAACATTAAATTCTTAAAAATTTCTAACCACATTATGGTAAAAAGAATGACTCCCTACGGAATTGGAGATGCAACACCTGCGAGATTTATTAGAAATATTTGAAAGCGATGAAGATTGCATTTCCGAAACTGAAGATGAAACTAGGAATATTTTCTACACTGTTTTTGGTTTCGCAAAAGAAAAATAATTCCTAAGTTCCTAAAAAGGAAAAACGTTCTTAGGGCTTTCAACATTATATAACGATAGTACTATAGATGATACTATTGGAGAAAATAAAACATCAGAAATTATATGTTTTTATAATATGACTAAAGAAGGAGTGGATATGGGGAATGAAATGTCAGCCAATTATTCAATTGCCAGTATAACGAGGAGGTGGCCAATGGTAATTTTCTTTCCTGCATTGAATATTGCTGTAATAAATGCTTGAATTATAAAAAATTTAACCCTAGTGTAAGCATTATGTATGTGATCTAAACGCACATAATGAGCATTATGTATAAAACTCTTACACAAAGTCTTCCGTATTACACACTCTTTAATTATAATTTCACTACAGCAAATGTGTCATTTCCATACAAATCTGACTGCAGAAATTAAGTCATTTCTATTCTAAAAATGCAGATGATTATTTGCATTTGAATGTCACCAAATAAATAAAATATTCATTTAACGTCAAAAAATCTTATAAAATTTCAACTCAAAAAACGATGGAAAATATACATATATACACGAATAGCTTAGCAAATTTATAAAATTTCGTAGTAACAAAAATCTTACATAGCCACAGCTTTGCAGTCCCCATAATAAAAGAGATGAAATAGGCATTCATGCCATAAATAAGCACTCTTAATATCAAAGACATCGAGAAAAGAAAATAAGAGTTAATCACCGCAGATTTTATAAAGCGAAAGGAGCATTTAAGTAATTATTTAGAAACATGACGTTCCCTTTTTCCTTTCCCGTTCATGTAAAACAATATTTTACGATAAAAAACACTTAAGTAATAGATAAACATGATTTCTAGATCCTTAATATACGCATATTTAACCTTAAGTGCAAAAAAAAAAAAGGGGGTATAGTACCTAAAATTTATCCTACAGCTTTCATACAGTACCTACTACAGCATGACTGTTTACTGATTAAATGATGCCAGTAAATGCACGTTCTATTACTCCATCACGCAGAAAACCAGACGATGCAGGTAAGATAAACGAGAAGTTTACCATAGGGATTGCGGAAACCGAACACATGCAAAACTTTCAGATAAAATTGCGTAAAGCAGTCCACTAAAACCGTTCTTGCTTATTATGCGAGGGAAAAGGGAAAATGTTTAAAAAATGAAAGTTGGCAACGTAAAATCGCTTTGTAAACAATGTGATCCCAAACTAAAATTTTCGTCGTCTTTCCTCTTTTAGATTTTATTATTTGTACTTCTTCCCTAGAATAATTAGATTTCATAAAAAAATAAAATCCTAAAGAAAGCAAAAATTAGAATTTGCTTGTCACAAATGAGATAAGCTTTTCTCAGTTGCATGAACAGGCGTATATCAGGTATGCCATCCCGTAGAGACATATAGCCTAAGGGTGTTTCTAAGCGTTCTACTTATCTAAATTTGTATGTTAAACTTTAAATTTACAAAGAAATAGAATTTGAATGGGTTTATGCTTCTGTAAAAATCATAAATAAGGTGAAACATCATAAAAACAAAGCTGTAGTACTGTGTTATGCAGGGCCTGCGCCAGAGTCGACGCAACCGCACAGGATGTAGAAATTTAGCGGCGGTAAACAGATCGTATTTTATTATCCAGTGTCAAGATGTAGAAACATCTTTTTACTCGACTTCTGATAAGGATCGGATAAGAGGAGAAAGAGTAGGGTGGAAGGAAGTGTGGGAGGCGGAAAAAAGAGAGTGAGGTCCACACTAGCGGCGGCGAAAAAACAGGGGGTGGCAAGTCCAGTGTCGTTATAAGATGTAGCCGCGGGTGGTAAACCGCAGAGTGAATTTAGCGTGAATGAGTCAATTAAAATTGTAATTCTTATGTGGGTACCGATGTTTTTCTCTGCGACGCGGGGAGTGTCTGAGAATGCTAATAAGGCTATTACTATGGGTTTGTACTGAATAAAAGAAGTTGACCGCTAATCGTTTATTATACTCTTGAATAAGTTCGATTCGACGGTCTCTGTGAATATAGATGTTTGGAATATACCAAGGAGCATTGATAATTTCTCGTAGAATTTTATTTTGTAGAATTTCTAATTATTTAATATTGGTTTTAGCTGCATGTCCCCAGATCGGTGCTGCACAAAGGAGGGCTGGGCGAAGTATGGAGCGATATAATTAATTTGTTTGCAGTAGATAAGTTGCTTTTTCTACCAAGAAGAGGTCGCATAGTAGCTGTGGTGATTTTAAATTTTTGTACTACGGACCGGAAGTGGGTTCTAAAGGTAAGTTTTTGGTCAAGGGTGACTCCAAGGTATTTGGTTTCATTAATCCAGTCTATTTCTTAGTCAAATATTTCAGGGGGTGGAGGATAGTATTTCATGTTTCCTTTACGGAAAATTATTGCCTTAGTTTTATCAGTGTTAATTTAATCCTCTAAAGATGAGCCATTTTTCCAGTTTTATGAGATAGTTTTGGAGTTGGTTTTCTTACGGCGATAACTGTGCAGGCTTTAGTAAGTATGACGGTGTCATCGGCAAAGAGTTGCAAGATGAACATAATGGTCTGTAGGGATGTCTTGTGTATAAATATTTAAAAGATACGGCGAAAGTGCCGACCCCTTTGGGACACCAGCATTGATTACTCTGATGGTAATGTAAGCAGTACCGATTTTGATTCTGAATGTTCTGTTGCTGAGCAAAGAGGCTATTAAGCGAATAAAATGATCTGGAAAATTGAGAGTGATTAGTTTGAAAATAAGGCCTCGATGCCATACCCTGTCAAAAGCTTTCGCGATATCGAGGAATATAGCACCGGTCGGAAGCTTGCAGTTGTAGCCTTCAGTGATAATGTTGATAACTCTAAGAAGTTCGTGGCAAGTGCTATCATGATTGCGAAAACCGAATTGTTCTTCTGGGAGAAAATTCATGGAAGGGTGAATTTTTTGGATGTGGAAAAGTAGGATTTTCTCAGTAACTTTAGACAGATGGCTAAGTAAACTGATAGGGCGATAGTTCTGTGGGAAGGATGGATTTTGTTGGAATGAGGAGAGGTATCAGGGCGTTGGTCGATGTATACAACTATACAATCCCCGCCCTAAATTTTCGCATAAGTTGCTAGTTTTCATTATTTTTAAAGTTTATTTCAGGTTTCATTTCCTTAGTGTTTTGCGTTGTAGACGACATATTCATCAGGTGATTGCTGCTAGGATCACCTCATTCGAAATTATAGTCACCTCATATGACAACAACAAGACTGACTTATAGGTTCTTGTGTGATGAAACACAAAGTGCTGAAACAACTTTAACGATCAAACGATGACCGGCGATCCCAAAATGAAGAGCAGTTTGTAATCCCATTACCCATAAGGTTTTCTTTTATATTAGTATACCTTGTCTTCCCAGTCTTGTCTTCCATCTTTATATTTCAAATTTATGTTTATCTTGTATATTTAACGTTACATTCCAAATCATAGTTTACCCCCCTCAACTAGACTTTGACTGTTATGTAACTGGTCCCCATTCTTTTTATCCCCCCCCCCCAACCTTACATCTCTTCAGCTTTACCAAACACACTCACTACACACACCGGAGAGACACTATTTAAAGTAAAAGTACACAGCGTCATCCCCTTTTGACTACACGCATGGATTAAATCGTATTTTTAGGAAATTTTCTACTTCTTCTCCTTTTCTTTCTATAGGCCCTTTTTAATTATTATTTTTTTCCTGCATTACTTTGGGCTTATTTTAATTATTTATTACTTATTTTAATTTTATTTTGTCCCATTTTTTCTTCCTGGCCTTTTGAACTCGTATAAAGAGTACGAAGTTCCTGTTTTCTCTCCTCTGAAACACGAAATTTACCGCTTTCTATCTACTTTTCCTTGGCACCTAAGCTTGATTTTTCGCCCATCGGAGCAGAAAGACTTAGCGGGTGCAAAACGAGACATCTGTTTATTTTCTGTCTGTCTGTCTAAAATTTTTAGAATTTTGAAAAGCAACGCCTTGGTCCCGAAAGGAAAAAACTTAAGGATACGAAACTTTCTGAATGTAGGGGTAGAACTGCGCAGTAAAATTTAGAAGAACAATTTTTAGAATTTAGGCCGGCAGAATTTAGGACAAGCAGATATTGCATTTGCGGCAAAATACAAAATACTTAGAAATGGCCTTGGCGATATGTACACACAGTAAAAAAAAAGTTTAGTTCTATATCTCTCGTTCCATTCGGCTTATTGAAGAAATTCAAGTTGTGTTTCTCATGCCCAGACCCCGACTTAGGATATCTGTTAGATTTATAAATAACGTTGTTCTAACATACGACGTGTTACACACAAAAAAAAACGATGATTTTGTATTGGAATCTTATTCAAGATGTATTCTTATCTTGCTGCATCAATTTTGTCATTGGTCTTTAGCTACTATCGGAGACACGCACATAAGTAGTACCCGAGATTACCACTGCAAAAATAAAACACAGAAATACGAGGTATGACACACACACACACACAAAAAAAAAAGAGACTAAGGGACAGAGTTTTGAAAACAGAGTGGAGTTGGCTACAACTGTTTTGGTGGCGTCATGCCACACACCTCCTTTATCCATGCGACTACCAATACCAATAATGAATTATTGCTGGTTTATCGCTCGAAGCGCGACGTTACCAGCTCTGCTGAAATAAGAGTGGCTCTGCCGTGAGAGTGGCAATTGAGATTGTAATCTACGTGAAGGGTATTCTGACCGTGGGACGGTGACTTGAGTCGAGAAGAAGAAAATCCATGTGGCTAGAGCTACTAGAGATCCTTTATAGGAGCCTTAAGATGCTATCACTTCTAGGGACGCGCGCGGCTACACGGGACAGTTCCGAGAAACGAGATTCTAGTAGCACTGCTTTCCGAGAAATGTTTCGTCTAGCTAGGAGGAACATGTCCCGGCTATGAGCAACATTTTGAAACTTCCCCGAAAATGTTCCATCTGGAGACGTGTTCCTGGTACGTTCAACCAATCAGACGAAAGTTCTGCTTTTGAAGGATCACGCGTAACTTTCAATATGGCGATGGCTCTCTCTGTGAAGTTATGTACGGTGGAAATTGAATATTTTTTTTAAATCCGTTTGTATATGCACGGCTTTTTTCCTAATTACTTATCAATGAAATTGTTAATTACATAATCAGTGACACATTTTAAACAGCATAAAAGATGCATAAAAAAAGAATTAAAAAGAAATATTATATACATAAAGAGGGATATAAAAAGAAATTTAATAATTTATCTTATTTTCATGTTATTAATGAACTACTTTTTGAATTATAAATACATTAGAAACTATATTTTTATTGTAAATGCTACATATTGAAACATTGGAAATTTATGAATTTATTATTATGCTAGATGAAAAACATTTGTACATACATTCATTAATACAAATCTTATTCATTAGATTAATACTAATAAATATATATATCAACAACTTCTAAACCATCTCATCTCTCTATCTGTATATAAATATATGACTTGTTAGATGTGTTGAATATTTTAGAATATATGTATGTATGAATACAAAAATTAACATTGCCAAAAAGTTTATTTGAAGTTACTTCTAATTCATATAACGATCATGTAATTGGCAGCAACTGCAGTCATCAGTTCTTTGCAAATTATTTTGGATATGTAATCAGTTGAAAAATAATTGATGAGCATTTGAGTATACTAAAGAGTGTACACATTTTGTTTTGGGGTTAATTCATAATTATATCATATGTATGATCTACGCAATATAAATATTGCTAATAAATAATAAGAAATGCAACAGCTATGCATTTATAACATTTGATATACTTAAAACAGTGCACAACTGATTATCCCCTTCATTGTGTGTTTACAATAATGAATTATACTTTCCAATTATGTGCACGAGGGCCTACTAGTGGCCGAAGCATCGTTGAACGCTGGTAATTTTGTCTCAGGTTAGAATCCCGCGAATGAGCTGGCTACATGGGCGTTTTCTTGGTTTTTCCCCATTTGTAACTAGTATACGAAGCCAGTTTTATAAAATCTACAAAGTTGGTATAATTAATCCCTTTTAGGCAAAGATGATCCCTCGAGGCTTTGCCGTAATCACACAAAATAAACTCA